GCCGCGGCGTGCCGTGTGCCGCGGCGCAGAGCAGGTGGTCTGGACGAGGGCGTCGCGGCGCGAGGTGATGGCACGGCGTGAAGGTCTGGAAGCGATCCTCTGTCCATCACGTGGCATAGTCGCGGCACGAGGGCAGCTTCTTCTCACAGCGCGATGGCGCATCGCGGCGCGACGGGCCCTTCCTTCACGTGGCTGGGAGAAGCGAAGTAGCAGGCGCCGCGGCGTGGTACGTGCCGCGGCGCGGGACTGGGCCTTGGGACTTCTGTCCAGGTTTTGGCGGCTGCGCGGCGCGATGTGGCGTGGTGCTGCTCGTACCGCATGCACATCTTAACATTTCGGGGTCGTTCGAGCTCGTTTGATAACGGAATTCGAATCCGCTTTTTCCAGTGTACTCCAACGAAATTCTCTCTTTAATCACGTTCGCCCGACACATTTATCATGAAACATAAATCCTCTCGAGACCTATAGCCTGCGCACCAAAAATGACAAACTACCGGAAAAACGACCGAAAAATACCAGGAAAACCAGAATAGAGAGAAACACGCAATAAAACATAAGACGAACTAAAAACAAACCAAAAGACTCAAAATGGGGGAAAAATAAAGGAAAAAGACAAGGAAAAACACAACAAAAATAGGACAAACATGTACATCTGGATGAAGTCGTCAACACGACCTTCATCCGCAGCATACTTATCTAATAGCTCTACGACATTTTTTATTTTCAACATCTTCTTATCTATTCGACCCTAGGCATCAAACAGCGCTTTCGAATCTATACTAAGGTCTAAGTCTACGCTTAGACCGCCCTGTTTCAGCCCCGTTGTTATACAAAACGCGACTGGTCAAAATTCAAAACCAAATTATCACCAACAACAAACGCATTCATATCTACCCTGTACGTGCTAACTAGAGCCTCAACTCTTCTATGTAAAACTGCTAAATCGGGCATATTCACAAAAAAATAAAAAGGACGCCTCCTTGTGCTTGTCTGAGAGCACAACAACCGTCCTGTTCATCACATCTTTGAAGTATGATGGGGCATCTTAGTTTGAGCCCTATCACAAACAAATAAAACAAAGAAAATTTTCAAACAACGATACATTTCAATAATAACAACACCTCAACTCATTTCAACAATAACAACATCTCATTCAAATAGATATAAAACACCAACATCTCAGCCCTAATTGATATGCAAATTGATATAAAACACCAAACAACACCTCAACCCTAATTGATATTCAAATTGATATAAAACACCAAACGACACCTCAACCCTAATTCATATAAAACACTAACAACAACAACATCAATTTCCCTAATTTGGAGTGCATTTTCATTTCACAAATAACAACAGGGTACCAAAACACCAAACAACTGTGCATTTTCATTTAGCAAATAACAACAGGGTTCCCTAATTTCCCTAACAACAACAACCACAACATTTTCACAAATAAAAACACAAAATTCATTTCACCAGGCCTAATTTATAAAGAACCCTAACTCAAAAGGGTACCAAAATAAAAAAATTATGCACCCTAGCCTGCAAAGAACCCTAATTGATCAATAAAATCCCCTAATTCGAAGAGCATTACCATGAACAAAATTCCCAAATTTTGAAAAGCATCGAATTCAAGATAAAAAATCATAATTTTGTAAAAATCCAAAAATTTATAGTTGAATAGAATCAAATATTTTGTGAAAGAATCTAACCTTGCTTGCGGCTTTGGAAAAGGAAGATGGTTTGTACGATATGGATCTCTTTTTCGACCCCACCATTGTGTTCGTGGATTTTTGGTCGGAGACGAAGGGCTTCCCGGAGATATGGCGATGAGAGGAGGAATCGTGTTCAGCGATGCACCAAGAGAGAAAGAGATGATAGGCGATGCACGAAGAGAGAGAGAGATAATTGGCGAGGCAAAAGAGAGAGAGAGATGATCGGCAGAGACGCGACGAGAGAGAGAGAGAGAGAGAGAGAGAGAGAGAGAGAGAGAAGAAAAAGAGACTAATTTATTATCAAGTAAAATAAATCAATAATAATAGTATTATTTTAGTATTTATATGGAGAGTTGAGAAGAAAGAAAAATATGTATTAAGGAGTGCAAAAAGAAAAGATATACATTGGAGTGTGACAAGGAAACTCAAATGTGCATTAAGAGTTAACTAGTGCTTGGTTAAGGGGAAATGGAGGGGAGGGGAAGGGAGGTGAGAGAATTTTTTAATTTTCTATTGTTTGGTTCAATTTTGTGTAAGTGGAGGGGTAAGATTTTTCATTCAATTCTTTCCTCAAATGGAAAATGTGCTCCCCTCCAAAAGTGGGGGAATTTGGAGGGGAGGGAAAATTTTTTAACATCAAATTACTTTTTTGACCTTAATATATAAATTATTTTATTTTTTTATTTCTTACATTATTAAGTAAATAACTGTCATCTATATATATATAAAAAGAATTATCATTTTTCAAAAATAGTAGGTCAAATGCAGGTCAAACTAAGTTAACATTAAATACTTACCAACTTAGGTAAGTTTTTTAGTTTTTGTTTATTCAATAAAATTGGAAAGTATTAATATTTCCCTTAATTTGTGGGATTAGTTCATTTTAAAATTAATATTTGTGGCTTATTTCAGAAGACGAATGTTCGTTACCTGCGGTGAATTTGTTGCGACTTGCTAGAGATTCGTGATTGTGAAGAAGATTTTTGATAAGCATGTTTTTTTTTTTTTTTTGTGGAAAATTGATTTAATCAACCATTTGTTAGTTAGGGCATTAATTAATATTATCGTGTTCCTTCTGTTTAAACCTTTTTTTTTTTAATTTTGTTTTTTAGTAAAACATTCATATACTTTATAAAAAATAAGGTACTTACAAGCAATCATGATATTTGGGAATTGTGATAGAAAATAATAAATTTGGGGATGATATATTCCAACATGCTTTAATTCACGTTCTTTAATACGGAAAAATAAATTTATATTAGTTAGTTTTGATTGTTTTATGTTTTTTATTTATTAATTATTAAACAATTCAATATATCTAAAGTTATTAATTTAACTGTAGTTTATATTTTTTTAGATTAAAAAATAATCATGAACTTGAAAGATAAAACCAATGGTTTAAAATTATAATAAATCTAATATATAAAAAGATTTAATTATTTTTAAAATAGTAACTTCTTCCAAAAAAAAAATTCTTATTTACTATATCTGAAAATAAACTAATCTATATATGATATAAAATGGGTACATTTATTTGTGGTACTTGATGGTCTCTTCTATGGAAAATAATCAATCAATATATGATAGAAAGTGAAAAAATTATTTTTGGTATTTGATGGATGTTTCTATGAAAAACGAATTAGTCAGTATATAGTATAAAGCGAGAAAGTTTATTTTGATTATTTTTTTTTTTATTTTGATTATTTGATTGTTGTCTTTTTTTTTTTTTTGTAGAAAATTTGCTATAAAAAATTAATCAATATATGGAATTCTTTTTCTTTGAAATGCTCACAAAAATATATTGGTTTTCTGGTGTGGGGTCTCATTTTTTATTTTATTATTTTGTATGAAATTACCATAGTGAAATTACCGTAACTCCCACAAAATAATATGAACAAACATTTTGATATAATGTGCGTGTCTCGATTTTTTTTTTATATATAGAAAATGCCCTGGTCAATTTTTATTTGTACAATCAGTGAGTCTTGATTTAATTCATTTTTGTTACGACGTTTTAATTAATTTTTGTATGAACTGCACTGATCAATTTTTAAAACAAAAAACTATGAAGCCACAGTCAAGAGTAAATATTGATGAAGGTATGCTTATAGAATATTAATCATCTACCTGCTTTGAAACCCAATATAACATCATACTTTTAATTAAAAAACATTCATTTTTGTATGCAGCAACATGAGATTAATGGAATATGCAGCAGCTGGAGAAAGAAATCATGAACATAAGAATTTAAAGCACAGAAAATAATGTAAGAACATGTTTCGCATTATGTGCAATAACATAATGTAATTTAATCGTCGGAGTTATGGCAATAGAATGCTTTGCATTAACCTATCACACATCTTCTTAATTCACAAAATAATTAAAATAGTTTTTTCCTTCACAGTAGGTGTAGAACTCACAATAAATTGAGAGCTGAAATATACAGACAGTAGAAAAATAATAATATAACTTACTGCAATGTAAAAGTTAGAAATATACAGACAGTAGGTGTAAATTTTGTCATATGTATGTTTTGAATAACAAGCCTTTTTGATAAAGTTTGTAACAAGCCTTTTTGATAAAGTTTGTACTGTAACATACAATTTCTAATATTCCAAATAATTTTACATGAATTAGAAAAAATTGAATATTTAAGGTTTTCTAAGGTTAATGTATTTTCCACTGATTGTTTCTTGCTCCATAACAATAAACAAGAGTCAAAACCAATATTTATAGCATTATGATATGTTTTTGGAGAAAGCGATGTTATGTCGCGGTCAGATGTATGTAGATATTTCACGCGTCACGAATCGTAAAAGTTTGAAGATTTTAAGTCGTGGTGTACCAAAATCAAATAAAGGTGTGTACTAGGAGATGTTTAATAATATATAAATAATAATTTGTATTATTCAAATACATGCATTTTACGTTCTGATCAATCATCTAATCTTACAAATCTAACTTTCCTTAATAATATTAGCCCGTGCATCGCACGGGTACCGCACTAGTTTTAATAATATTTTCTTTTTTTCCTTCTATTTTTCTAACCAAACAAAATTTACTATTTTCTCTTCATTCACCTCTTACAAAATCCCTCAATATTTTATATCACCTCCTCTCTACTCACCTTCCTTCCATTAAAATCTCTCATCTCCCTTTCCCTTAGTTGTACCAAATTAACCGTCAAATTGAACCGATATATGGCTGCTCCGTTGCTTTTATTCTTCATCAGCTCACAAGTTTCGCCGTCATGTATGGCTACTCCATTGCATTTATTCTTCTTCTCCCCTCGACTCTGTGCACCATTTTCTTGTTCATAAAATGGTTTGCCTCTATAAAACCCCTCAAAAACCCTCCACCATCGCCCCCAAAACTTCCAATAATTGGAAATCTACACCAACTCGGCCTAAGCCCCCACAAAATTCTCCGTTCTTTGTCCGATAAACATGGGCCCTTGATGCTTCTGCATCTGGGCAGCGTGCCCTTCCTCGTAATCTCATCACCTGATGCGGCTAAGGAAGTGTTCAAAACCCATGATCAAATCTTCTCAAACAGGCCTAAATCGAGCGTCGCTAGTGCGATTTACGACTGCAAAGATGTCGCCTTTTCTCCGTATGGTGAGTATTGGAGGCAAGCTAAGAGCGTTTGCGTTAATCAGCTGTTGAGCAGTAGAAAGGTTCAGTCTTTTAGAAATGTCAGGGAGGAAGAGGTTTTTCTTGTGGTGAACAAGATTAGAAAATCGTGTTATCCCGAGAGAGAAGTGATCGATTTGAGTGAGATTTTTGCTTCGCTGACGAGCGATATAATTTGTCGGGTGGCTTTGGGGAGGAAGTATGATGATAGGAAGTTCAAGGAGATTGTGGAGACATTAGGGGTGTATTTGGGTGCTTTTAATGTGGGGGAGTTCATTCCATGGCTTGTTTGGGTCGACTATTTCAATGGGATGAAGGGTAAAGTTAGGATGATTGCTAAAGAAATCGATGATTTTTTGGAGGATGTGGTGAGAGAGCATATGATGCTTGGGAGGAGAGAGGAAGTGGATGAGAATAATGATTTTGTGAATGTTTTGCTTGAGATGCAAAGGAATGAGGGAAGTGGGTTTGCTCTAGATGCCATCTCCACTAAAGCTCTCATCTTGGTAAGTTTTGTCGATTTCATTGTTTTGTTATTTGTGCATTGTTGAACTTCGAGCAAATGAAAAACACTTGTAGGTGCAGCAGCCTGCAGGTCTGAAAGAGAGAAAATAGGAAGATCTACTTTCATTGTTAGCTCACATTGCGAACAATTCATGACGCTAAGAGTATATATTGGAAAAAGAAAGAACTCATAAGATTGCGAGTTTATCTTCGTTCTGTAGATTACACGGCACGTGTCGTGTGTATGTGCTATATATAATCCAAGGGGCTCTTTGGAATTAACTTAGGGATGCTTTTCGAGTCTTATCCTTTGTTTCCATCACGCTGTATCAGTCTAAACCTTAAGGGTAGCATTTGTTTATCCTTAAATCTCCAAGCCGAGAGATGTTGAGTGATCTTATAAAGCTAGGAAAGAAACATGACAGTTTCATGTTGAGAGAAAACATCGGAAAAGAAAAAAAAAAGAAAAAAAAAATGCCGAAAGTGATAGCACCTTTTAGTTAGTTGATCCTGCCAATCAATATTTCAGTTGTTTGAAATATTTTAAATGTCACTGATTAGTTAAGGCCTCATTCATTTATGTTGAAAGAAAGTGAAATCAGGAGGCAATCAAATAGCAGAGGACTGTGAATACATTGTCTGACATCTTTCTTTAAGAATTAGGTACGTCGTATTGTATCTAACAACTTACTGAATGCAGTTGTTGGCGAGCACGGACAATCCACTTGCTCAACTCAAATAACCATTAAATTTGATTGGACTTAGGTGGGTTTAATGACTTTATGTACTCGTGGGCTGTAGCATATTCCATTTCTATATCCCCTTATTTTTTTTCTGCGACCTTAAAAATGTAAGATTTGTCCAAGTATGAAAATATTCTTTCGATCCTTAAATAGGCCTGTTTGTACTTCGAATCTTGTCCAATTCTTTAATCTTTTATTTATAATCATTTGCAGGACATGTTTGCTGCTGGAACTGATACAACCTACACACTTATCGAGTGGGCACTGTCCGAGCTCATAAGACACGATAACGTCATGAGAAAACTGAAAAATGAGCTGAAAAACATAGCAGGACACAATTCATCCATAACCGAAGATGACTTAGACAAATGCCAATACTTGAAAGCGGTTGTGAAAGAGACCTTGCGCATGCACCCCCCACTCCCACTGCTCGTCCCTCGAGAAACAACCCAAGATGTGAAACTGTTAAGTTACGACATCTCGTCAGGCACCCGCGTGGTCATCAACGTGTGGGCCATTGGCAGAGACCCGTCATTATGGGCCGAGCCCGAAAACTTTTGGCCCGAGAGATTCTTACATGATTCGGTGGGTTTAAAAGGGCAGTTTCAGTTTATTCCGTTTGGCGGAGGTCGAAGGATGTGCCCCGGGGCCTCTTTTGCTATGGTTATAGTCGAGCTTGTGCTGGCGAACTTGGCACTTAATTTTGAGTTTGAGTTACCAGGCGGGCTGAAAGGAGAGAATCTGGATATGTCGGAGGGTGAAGGAATTACGATCCATCGAAAATTTCCTCTCAGAGTTATTGCTAACTATGAGTCTTAACGTTAATGTGTAGCTTTTATGAATCTCCTAAGAACAACCAACTATTCTAAAGGGCGGATTATATGTAACAACTCTAAAATGATATGCAGATTATACAATAACATCCTTACATGTTTCAAGTTGAGCTATGTGTAATATGTAACAACACAAGTTTTGCAAAGTAGACATCCAATTAAGCCTGATATTTATTTCTTATTTGGCCCAAACTTTTGTCTTTACTAGGTTTAGAATGTGTTCTAAGAGTGTGCTTTACTCCTGAGACCGTGCAGGTGGGTGAAACAAAGAGAGACTAAAATTATTTAGGCTGATTTACAAATATATTATAGGATGGTGGTGATGATTGGGTAGAAATTGGCGGCCGCGGGGTGGAAAAATGTTATGTAAATAAAAACGCAACATTTATTGAAAGCAACATATACTGAAATCATTCTCATGCCCGTGATGTACAAGATTTTAACGCTCGTCGTTATGCCTTGACATCTTCTTATATAATTGTCAACCTGGTCAATTTCATCATTTATTTTTTCTTTCAGTCGAATAGATGTGGTTGGATAAATGTTATGTAAATAAAAAAGTAATGTATATTGAAAATATACTGACTATAAAAACAACAACATTTATTGAAATTATTTTAATGTCCATCTTGCAAAAGATTTTGATGCTCGTTTTTAAGCCTTGGCCTCTTTTTCTCACCTTCTTCATTGGCGGGAAATGGGAGCTGCGGCGCCGCGCAAATGGACGAGGCGGCGGCAAAAGAAGAGTGAGAGAGAGAGAGGGTGTTAATGCAATCCTATAAAAAGTGAAAATTCGTTTTAATCCATAAATAAATATAATCATATTAAATTGACAATCAAGTATTTAGCAGATGAATAAGATAATTTTAGTTATTTTTCTACAAAAATATTTATTAGGTGTAAATATGTAATTAAAAGGTTATTGTGTAGTGGACCAAGTAATTTCTTCAATTATTTATATTATTATAAGAGGCTTTTTTTTATTTTTTTATTTTTTTATTTTTTTTGAAACGATAGGAGTCACATATATTCACAACCTAAAAACAAGACTAGAAACAATTACTCAGCCGAATAAAACAACCAACGACGAATAAGTTGAATAGGTTACCCTAGTATGTAGGACTACACATACAAGCTGACGACAGCCTAGAGTCAACCTACAATACAAAAAAATAATAATAATAATAATAATAATAATACGGGAGAATAAACAAAAGCTCCCACCAAGAGAATACACCAAACACTCTCCCAACGGAAGAGAAAAAATAAAACACATAAACATGAAAAACACAGCACACAAACTCTAGCTAACAATCTAAGCAAAACCAAACCAACCCTTCCCATAACCGACAGAAAACCAAGAAGCTATCAGCAACCCCATACCCGACCACCTCCTGACCCGAACCACGCCCCGAGAAGCCGCTCTAGAAACTGCCTAACGCCTCTAGGTGACTAACGCTATTAACGATAAATATAAATTTGGTATGCTACAAGAAAAATGGTGAAATTCCAATGGATAATTCCAACAGAAATATATTCCAATTAAATTCCAATTGATATTCCAATGCTGTTATTTTTGTTGGAATTTTTCAATGAATTCCAACGAAAATTTCAACAAAAATTATTTCGTTGGATTTTCGTCGGACTTTGACTATTCCATCAGGGGTGGAAATAAAAATTCCAACATAAATCCAACAGAAATTTTTTCGAAAAAAGTCATTGAAAATAGTAGTTGGAATCGTCAAATTTCATCTGAAATTCAATGAAAAACTCATTCCAACGAAAGCTATATCATTGGAATATCCGTTGAAACTTTGATTGAAATATATTATCGTAAGATTTTTTGTTGAAATATAACAATTTTTCTTGTAGTAGTAGACGAGGCTAAACATTTTTTAATAATAAATAAATTTCAATTAAGGATTTGATAAATATAATATTGGTTCAGATGTGGCTAAAAATATGTCAACAATAAATAAATTGCAATTAAAAATTTTGACACTGCTGGAACTGTTTTCCCCAATTTAACAAAATAGAAATATTTTGTACATTCAAATCTATCCTCGTTCTCCCCAATTTTTTGACACTAGTGGAAGTGTTTTCATATGTTTCTAACATACTCATGGTTATATTAGAAGACTGATTGAAGAAGTTTTTTATTAGAAAATTGTGTAGCTTCTTAGGGTGTCTCCAACAGTCCTAGCTAACTGCTAGCTAGAAGACATCCACGTCATATATCAAATAGCCAGCAGTCTAGAGAGCTATCTATAATGCTAGCTATTTGTATTTTTAATACTTCCATGTACAGAGACAAACAACATATTTGAGGCATCGTACTGTGTGCGAGATAAGCGACGGGCGAGTCGCCGGCTCGATTTTTTTTGCACGTTCTCTTTCCTCCACATAGGATGAATGCTGTCCTGTACACCCAAATAGCTAGCTAACTCAGCCTTGTTGTAGACGCCCTTATGTTCTAACGAACTCTTGAGAAAAAAAAAAAAGGAGAATATCTCCGTAGCAATGCCCGACGATAGAATATCCCAACTACCAATATACCAATACGTCACCACATACTCTGTTTCCTCTCCCAAAAAGAAGCTGTGAGGACTTGTCTACTCTCCAAACAATGGCGCCTTATAGGATCAACCCGCCCCAACCTTGAATTCTCCGAAGAATGGTTCGACGACACACGAAAAGTGCCCCGACCTCGACTTCTCCGAAGAATGGTTAAACGACACACAAGAAGAGTTTGTCACCGTCAACTGCTCCATAATGCTCCACATTCTCTATCACCTCTGCAGACCATGGCGCAACAAAGGATCAAAACCTGTCCATATACAAACTCCGTCTCGACTTATCCAGGCCTGTCTCACGACCGGTCATCTCCCTTCTCGACAAATGGATCCCGATAATAGCCGCTCTCAACATAAAAGCTTTCAAACTCAACTTTCTTTCATATACTCAGTCGTATTACAACCTGCCCTCGGCAGTCTTCTTAGCCGAGTTCCTCGAAGAACTACACCTGAGCAAATGCAGGCTGAGCCCGGTCGAGAGCGTGCGGTTTGAAAGTTTGCGCACGCTCACCCTCGAACAGGTCCAAGTTGATGGCAGCACTTTCGAGACGAAAATGTTGGGCTGCCCTTTGCTCAGGCGCCTTAACCTTTATAGTTGTTGGGATTTAAGAAACGTTAGAGTGAGCGAGGAGGCATCGCCTGGGCTCAAGCAGTTTGATTTGTGTGATTTCAAGAGGATCGAAGGGCGTGGAATTGAAATCGATGTTCCATATCTCGAGACAGTCTTTATCTCGGGCCCATGGATTTGGTCTCACCGCCAAAGCACATTCTTGTTCTCTCGTCTAACTAGATTGGATCTCTATAGTGTGATCCTGTTGAGTGAGTCGTTCGACCTGTTACCGTTCGGCTGCCCGACTCTTGCGAGCTTAACCCTACAAGATTGCTCCGGCTTCGAGGAAATCCATCTTGCAAGTGATTCGGTCAAGTTCTTGCGCATCTCGGCAAGAAATATACCGCTTAAAGGAGTTACGATTTGTGCCCCCAACATTCTCTGTTTTGCGTTCAGTGCCGGTATTCTCCAGGTGCCGAACACGAACACATTTTCTTTCACGACGACTACTTCCAAGCAATGGGATTCAGGAATATTTCTCTCCTCGTATGAGGAAGATCCCGTTTCGACGTCAATTGGTGGTTCCTCTCGGGTGGGGGGGCGTCAATTGGTGGTTCCTTCAACTGAGACGACTGCTCAAGGCACTAAGTGGGTCTCAGATTTCTCTATATCTGTGGATGGACGGCGTCCCTCAGGAAGTGCCTTGTAGTGTTGTTCTCGGTGACGAGCCGCCTGTGGTGGTGTGGGACTTGATTGCCACTTGTAAATGTCGCACGACATCTTGGTATTTGGAGTTTACGAACGGCTTGTTTCGTGTTTGTCAACCGAATCGCGTATGGGGTGGTACCCTTGTTAGCGGGTCGGACAGGAACTACAGGCTCTCGGAGTTTCAGTTAAACATGTTGCTTGCAAACAAGAATGTCAGGACCGATCCCTACTTTTGGCGGCACGATTTGGAGCAAGTTCATGTCGATGGCCAGCTCGTGCAGTTGACAGACCAGTCGGAATTGCGAACCAGGACGCATGACGGAGTAATATGGCTTCATTTGAAATGGAGAGCTCAGAAAAGAGCATAAGTACGACGCTCTTATTTTTAAGCTTTTCAGGTTATTTGTCAGAAGCCGGTGAATGGTCTGGTATCAGATTAGGGTGCAAAAAATACGGCACGAATATAAATCGACTGACGTTTTCTTTTTGGCCTGGTTTTTGAAAGTAAATTTCGGACAATTAAAATGTACAAATGGGTTCAAATTTTTTTCAATTGAAATGTGATCATTTGCAACTAATGAATTTCACATTCTGTCATGATTTGTACCAAAAAATAGTCCCAATGCATAGCAAATTAACCGAAGATGTTAAACTGTTTAAGTTACAGCATCTCGTCAGGCACACCGGGTGGTCATCAATGTGTGGGCCATTGGCAGAGACTCATCGTATGGGCTGAGCCAGAAAACTTTTGGCTCGAGAGATTCTTACATGATTCGGTGGGTTTAAAAGGGTAGTTTCGGTTTATTCCGTTTGGCGGAGGTCGAGGGATGTGTCCCGGGGCCTCTTTTGCTATGGTTAAGTTAAGCTTGTGCTGGCGAACTTGGCCCTTAATTTTGCTATGGTTAAGAATCTGGATATGTTGGAATTGAAAGAATTACAATCCATCGAAAATTTCCTCTCTGAGTTATTATTGATAAGTGTGAGTCTTATAACATTAATGTGTAGCTTTTATATGTAATAACACTTAAATGATATGCAGATCATACAGTAACATCCTTAGATGTTTCAAGTTTAGCCATGTTATTATCGAAAACTAAAATCTTGGCGCTTGCAAAATCGATCACTTATACAAGTTCCATCACAATTTCGTCAATGTTCTTATCCGAGCTTCCTCCTTCATTAACGGCCTCTACTGCCAAATCTTTCCATTTCCGGACATTTCCTCTCATCTCGATCCCTCTCTCGCCTTTCATCACCTCATTCACGCAATCCCTAACTTGCTCTCTCGAAACAATCCCATCCCTATTTTTCTCGCAACAAACTCCAACCCGCCAAACATCCCCTACGAACTTGGCATTCGTTGTTTGGTCGGTCCATTGTGGCACAACCACCATAGGCACCCCCAAAGTCAATGCCTCTAAGGTCGAGTTCCAACCGCCGTGCGTGACAAAACACCCAACGGCTCGATGAGATAAAATCTCTAGTTGAGAGCACCAGTTCACAATTAGGCAATTTTTACTTAGCTCGGGTGTAGAGATGATATCTTGAGGGAGCTTGTGTTGCTCGGTCTCTCTAACTACCCATATGAAGCTGCATTTGGTAAGGATTAGTCCACGGGCTATTTCCTCCATCTGTGTCTCGGATAAATCGGCTAGGCTTCCAAACGAGACATAGATTACCGATCGAGGTTCTTTTCCATCAAGCCATTCGGACCAAGATTCGGTTTTGGGCTTGAAGAGGCTGAGCCCGTAGTCATAGTTTCCTTGCACTCTCTTGTCTGCGTACATGGAAGGAACAGTTGGACCGATTGTATGGATTGGGTATATGGTCGCCATCCATTTTAGTATCTGTCAAAATAGTTTTAAAACATGGTTTTATCACTTTTCCACCATTTTTACAGGGTAAATTATGTCATATTATATCTGATGAGCATGCTGTGTGGTCATAATTATCAAAAGCCCCTCTAATACTAAACTATATTAATAAATGCATCGTTTTTCAACTGTAGCTGGTACACGATATTAATATCAGAATTCGAAAATACGATTCCGGCCATTTTATTATCAAGTCGAACTCCATTTCATTTCTAATTATCACGCGTAAATGTACATGGATATATACCTCGTCCTCAAGCTTGTCAAACGTGTTGAACAATCGCCAGTCGGCCTTTACAAAGGTCGAGAACTGCTCCACCACAAGCCTTGCGAGAGTTGGATAAGAGTCCTTATCGTAAGCAAGTGTCGGCAGATCCCGCACCCCCATAACAGGCATCCCCGGCAGCGACACTCGGGAGCCGCCATCCGGTGAAATGACCAAACTGCCCTTGTGCACGTGGTGGGAAACCGCACAAACAGTACAAGATTGCGTGAAAAGCACGGCCCCTTTCACTCCTTTCTCGTGTGCAATATCGAGAACCCAAGGAATAACCGAATCATAGACGACGGCCTTCACGGGGAAGCCCGAGTTGCCATATTTGTCGATGATACGCGGAAGGCCACTTGAGATTGCGGCTCGAAAGTTTCGGATATAGATTTCGTACACGTCTAGGCCTTCGGATGCTTCGACGGCTGTGGATTCGGGCACGGTTTCGATGTGTCGATCTCTGGGTTTCGTTTGGAGGGTTTTGCTAACGGACACGGTGGTGACGAACGTGACGCGAACTCCTTTGGACGATAGGCGGTTGCAGAATTGGAGTATGGGGTTTATGTGGCCTTGTAAGGGGAATGGGATTGCAAGAATATGAGCATTCTTTGAGGTTGTTTGAGGTGTTTCCATGGTGGTTTCTTGGGGTGATATTGTTTTTCTTCTTCTACATGTGCCAAAATATATGGTTAATAAACAATATTGCCTTTGTTGCTTGAGAATCATGTGAAGTTTGGGCCAAGCAATTGGCTTGTTAGGATAATGTTTCAAGGATACAGTGAGACAACAATCTTGGTGGGTCCATGAAAGGGATTTTGATGTATACCGACTGGCTAGGAACAAAGGAAAAATTGGGACTGCTTTAGACAACAATCTGGGTTTTGAGTTCTTGCAACTCCTTCGACAAGGTGCTTTCGACACTGGCCTTGCTCCTGGCACCAAGTCGATCGTGAACTCCACTTGCCGATTCGGTGGGTCCCTTGGCAACTGCTCCGAAAAGATATCTAGGTATTCACGAACTACCAGCACTTCTTCGGGGGACGACTCTTTTTGAGTATTCCCAACAATATTCACCAAGAATCCTTGGCAATCGCCCTTCTGTAGGCTCTTCACAGCATTCATCGTTGAGATAAATCATGGCACGGCCCTCGCTTTAGCCCCATCAGAAATGATGTGCTCATCCTCCGCTAGGTGCAGGGTGACTTCGCGCTCGTGGCAACAGATGTTTCCTCGGTACTTGCTACACTAGTCCATGCTAAGAATCACATCGAAATCTTTCATCTCGATCACGTACGGGTCTGCCTACAGGTTCTTTCCACGAATTCTTATGTTAAGGTCTTTCACCATAGTGTCGGTAACAATCGTCTTCCATGAGGCTAGATTAACCTCTAAAGCTTCGACTGTACTGACGTTCTGAATTCCGATTGCTTCTAGGCAACTTGACGAGATAAAGGAATGCGTGACACCAGTATCGCATAAAGCAAATATAAGTATATTTTGCACAAAAAACATGCTAGACATAGTATCTTGGCCCTCTCTTGGAAAAATCTGCATCTATATAGAGAAAGAGGATTTATTTATACATACAGTGTTGACCTATTATTCAGTCCTCATGTATCGCATTCACCAGAAACTGGAAGACCAGTGAAAGAAACATCATAAGTTGTGGTCTTATGATACAAGATAAAGATAATTATGTTCTCTCCACCATAGCAATTAACTCCTGAAGAATCTTGAATGCAAAAGTTAAGGATACAGCAATTTGAAACATAACGAGTATATATCATAGTGAGGATTGCCTGGCGATTCTTTTCCATCGTCCTAGTTTTTCTCGACCCTGCCAAAATAAATAAATAAATAAGTAAATATAAAAACAAAAAACGAACGGCCATTCCAGACTTTCCATCTCAGATTGAATAAAAGAATCAGCCATGAAATTCAATGAAGTACAGTCATCTCAATTCTACTGAACCACAAGTTTGCATCATAGATTTCAAAAATAAAATAAATAAATACAAACTAAAGCATACACAGAATCCCGGTTTATTACCAGTCGAGGGGCAATAGCCAGTTCATTTTCCGCAATATAAGTTGCGTTAAAACCGACAGGGTGCAATGCTTCTTCATAACTACAGATAAAAAAGGATTTGCTGTCAGCAAGTTATCAAGGACCAGGAAGAGATGATATATAATTGAAGACTGAGTCGAATATTACTCGGCAATTGATACGCTATACGGAGGCCCACCCTCGTGGCCATCAATCTGCCAAATTGATATATTTTTTAAATAACTAATAAGAAAAGAAAATTAGCCTTACATATAAAGACATGATAATTAGTAGATATAGATCATATAGAACCTGAAAGAATAAATATTTCAAGTAATCAATTTCCAAGATATTGTTTGTGCAAAGAAGTACTGGTTGTTGATACAACTAATATTTGTTAGTGAAATTACAAATGTGAAGAAACTAATGATTTAACCCATTAAATTTCAAACTCAACATAATTGCACAATGTTGTTCACAAAAAGGTATTCCAAGCGTCGTCCATGGTTCACATTTGCTAAGCAAGTACAACATATAGAACTATAAATTGGTTTTGCCAAGTGCAAAAAAAA